CGGGAGCAGCGTGGCCGGAGCGGTCCTGCTGCGCCCCCCGCTCAGGCGCTGGGTGAGCTTTATTGCGATGCAGTGGCCGTACAAGGCGCGAGCCGCTTCTGCAGGCGCCCAGAAGCCTCCCGAGATCTCGACGGTGCCTACGGAGCTGCAGGCACTTGGCGCTCCCGCGCTCTGACCTGTTGTCCCCTGTGTCCCTGTTCAATGACATCCTGGGTGTCTCCATGGCCAGACGCCCCCCACCTGCCCCTTGCAGCATTTCCCAAGGGAGATGGTAGCGTAGCCATCAGGTGGGTGACGTCCCCAAGTCACCTCCTTGCCCACCAGTGGGCAGGTGGGTAAGGCTGAGGCGACATTGGTGGCTGCAAAATGCCACCTTCTGCTCTGCCCGTGGGGTTGGTGTCTACCCGGATGGCTGCGTGGACTAGTTGAGTGACCAGATCTTGGATCTTCCAGCCTGTAGGTGGTGGGTCGGGATGGGGAGGTGGATGGAGCCCAAGTTGGGGACAGGGGACGTGGCCTGGCTGACGTGGGGCTCTGCAGGGGATCCTGATGCTTGGACGTTCCCAGCGGTGTCCCAGAGGTGGGTGGTGAAGGGAGGTGAGGAGGCTGCTGCCAGCCCCGCGTGGCCGCAGCACCTCCAGCCGCACTGTCCGGAGATCCGGGCTCTCGCAGCTCTGCTCCGTCCTCTGCTCCGTCACCTCGGTCTCCCCTCTCTTCCTGGCTGCTCCTCCTCTTGGCCCCCCGCACCCAACCAACGCCTCCCGCTGTCCGGCCTCACCTCTGGGACCTGGCAAGCTCCGTGCCTGGGCTAGAGCCCTGTGACCCTCCTGGCTGTGTGGAGGCCCTGTGCAAAGCCAAGGCGGCCCCAGCAGTGACACTGGTCTAGCTGTCCCCAGCCCCGCAGGGAAACAAGGCTGGCAGCTTGGAAGGTGAGTCTGCCCTTCCCAGCCCCGACTCGCTGCGGGTCACAGTGTGAGCGGAATCTTGCCAGCAAACCAGGCTGGGAGTTGTCACCCCTCTTCGCACAGCTACCGGCATCACCGCTGGCCTCCAGCACTGGCTCCCTCTACCACGTGCGTCCTGCTCCCTCCCCAGGGGCCCGCGGATGCTGATGCTGCCAAGGTGCCACCCTCCCGGGCCACTGTGTCCCCAGCGCTGCAGAGCTGAGGCGGGGGCTCGGCGCAGACCCCTCTCGGCAGAGGCTCCCCCCATGCACGTGCTGCCAAGCCTGTGTAGAGCCACATGGGGCCGAGGGCCGCACGCGGACACGCATGTGACAAGGTGCCGCCAGCAAAGCTCAGCCGGTGTCTTCTGCCGGGTGCCCTGCAGCGCTGCCTGGAACCAGGAGCCACCCGCCACCCGCTGCATTCTGCAATCTCCTCCTCTACCCTCAGCATGTCCGGGTGGCCAGATGGATCGGGGCACGGTGCTGGCAAAAGAGCTTTAGGGCTTCACAAACCTAGAAATAATAAATACAAGATCTTCCTCACACACTGCGTCGAATGACTGTGCTGGCTCGGCCCTCCTCGGGCCCGCTCTCCTCCTCCGTCGGTCCCAGAGAGATCACTGCTCCTCGGCATCGGTCACTGCAGGCTCCCAAAGGGCTTGTCATGGAAACAGTCACGAGAAAGGTGAGTGTCCTGGGGTCTGCTACAGCGGCTGCGCGTGGGAGAGCCTCCACTCCCTACTGCAGCAGCTTTGGTACCTCCACCTGCCGGAGAAGACACCGCGTTACTGGGCACAGCAGGGAGCAGCTGGGAGAGACGGAACCCTGTGGCCACCCTCAAGTACCCCCCACCGACACGGCTGCCCCTTGCACCCCAAGGATCCATCTCGCTGCGCTGATGTGACAGCAGAACCAGAGGAACCTGCTGCCCTTGGGTTGGGAACACAGACCCTACACCCCGTATCCCGCACTAGAGCACAGCCCTTGTTCCGGCAGTGCCGGAGGTGCCACCAGAGCTCAGTCCCCGGGCCAGCTCCAGGAGCACCGCCCACGCTCGCCCCGCACTTGCCTTCTTGAGCTGTTTGAGGTTGCTGGAGCGGATGGCCGCCAGGAGCTGGTCTCGTGAGTTCTTCTCCTGCACTGGCAGTGCCCGATCTGCCAACTTCCTCTGTGTGGCCGGTGACAGCGAGTTCCTCAGGTTCTCATTGATGAGTGGCGGGGCGAGCGGAGGAGGCGGCGGGGGCGGCGCAGCAGGTGCAGCCCCTTTCTTTGCAGGGATTTTCGGGGACGCCTTGGGGGATGGCTGTGGGGAAGCCTTGGGGGATCCCTTTGGCAGGGCTCCAGGCTTGGGCACCTCCAGGAGGTCTTTCTTCTCTGCACGTTCCTGGGCCAGTTTCTGCTCCTGGAGGCGTTTCTGCCTCTGTTTGTCCATATTTCGGCTTAGCAGGTTGGTGACCGTCATGCGAGGCCCAGCCAGCTCAAAATGATAGCCCAGCTTCAGGAGGGTAGTGTTCTCCTTCAGGAGCTTGGCGATCTCCATCTCCGTCTTCCCCCCACAGATGTGCCGCTGGTTGTGGAAACGCAGCTCGGTCAGGGTGTTGTTCTGCAGCAGGGCCCGGAAAATGGCCAGGATGCCCTTGCCGGTGATGTGGTTCGAGTCCAGGTTGATGCTCGTCAACACCTTGTTGGCCTTCAGCATGATGGCAATGGCAAAGGCCACGTGGTCGTCAGCGCGGGTGTTGGCCAGCGCGAACACTTTGACCACGGTGTTGAACTCCAGGGCCTCGGTGAAGCGCACCAGGGTCTCGTTGTTGATGCAGTCCGAGTTGTTCACATTCACTTCCGTGACCTCAGCGTCGTTGTTCTTCACTTTCTCGATGAGTTCATCAAAAATGCTGGAGGCCTCATCGTCCTTGGCTTGTTCTGGGGGGCTGACCGTGGGCTTGGAGGTGCTGTTTTCAGCTGCTGTGCTCTTCTCAGCTTCCTGTTCCTTCTCCTCTGCTGCCTTTTCTGGCTCTGGCTGGGACTTATCCTTTTCACCAGCCTTTGATTTATTCAAAGCCAAATTCTTTTCTTCTTCTTTTCTATCCTTTTCTTTCTTTTCTTCTCCTTTTGTATCTTTTCCTACCTCTTTCTTTGATCCCACGCCCTTCTCTTCTTCCTTTTTATCCTTCCTTGCATCCTTCTTTAATGCTGAAGCCTTGTCCTCTTCCTTTTTGTCCTTCCCTGTGTCCTTCTTCAAACCTGAAGCCTTCTCCTCCTCCTTTTTGTCCTTCCCTCCCTCTTTCTTTAATGCTGAGCTCTTTTCCTCTGCCTTTTTGTCTTTCCCTGTATCCTTCAATGTTGAAGACTTGTCTTCCTCCTTTTTGTCCTTTCCTAACCCTTTCTTTAATGCCGAATCTTTCCCTTCCTCCTTTTTATCCTTCCCTGCATCCTTCTTTAATGCTGAACCCTTTTCTTCCTCCTTTTTGTCCTTCCCCAGCAGTTTTTTCTCCATGGCCTTGACTTTGTCATTGATCGCTTTCTCATCTTTGGGTTTTCTCTCAGGCTCAGCTTTAACTTTGGGGTCTGTTTTCTTAACACTTTCTTCCTTTTTAGAGTCTTTCCCTTCTACATTTCGTTTATGGGCCAGGTCTTTGGAAGGAGCTTCCTTGCCCTTTTCTTCACTGTTCTTGGCTTCCTTATTCTTCTCTGTCGACCTGGTCTCCTAACAACACAAAAACATGAAGGTTACAGAGGCAAACTCCCTCAGACCTCCAGACTTGCTACCCGCATCCCATCACCATAAACTCAGCACCTCTCTCGTGCAAGGGGCGCATGAAGAACCACACGCAAGGGGAACTGCATCCACCGTGTCCATGCGGGCACCGTCGCGGCTGGGGAAGGCGCACAGACAATCATGGGAGGCTGCAGGTCTTAGGAAGGTCTTGGACTGCTCCTACAAGGGATGAGCTGCCCTGAAGCATGGTGGCCACTGTCCTCTTTGCTATGAGGCCGTTGAAGGGTTGGGTGGAGGGGAGATGAGCGGGGGAGATGGGGAAGGCAGAGAGGTTTGAGTAGCGCTTTTTCAGCAGTCATGATGGCAAAGAGGGGAAATGAAGCACAAGTGATTTATGTGATAGAAACCTGGTGAGAAGAGGGTGTCCCGGGAGGCAACACCCGGAGAGAGCCTGCTCCGACCCTGGTTCTGGCAGCAGTGAGAGGCAGAGCGGTGGCTCTGTCCCTCCTTGCCCAGTGCCAGGTCTGTGCTGGGAAGGGAGAGACCTGCAGCCTCATGGTCAGGGGCAATAAACACCCCAACCTGAATTGCAGTGGTTTAGCCCTGAATATGGGCCAGGGTCTCATCTACCCCAGTGGAGGGGTTTCACATTGTGCTTTTACGTTGTGCCTGCTGCTTCGTGGCTGTGCTCTGGAAGAGGGAGGTTTAACTCAGCTGAAGTCCTCAGGTCCAGGGGAAGGCTCCAATGCCCTGAATGGAGACAGAGCCTGCAGGGCACAAGGGTGCTGAGGTCCCCTTGCAGCTCTCAGTGGCCCCTCTGCTCTTCTTCTGTCTCCAGGTCCTTCCCAACAGGCTCCAGCAGTCATGGTCATGGCCTCCTTTATCCTCTTTTTAGCCAGGGGTGGAAACAGGGGTGCTTCTAACACCCATAGTCCATGATCCCCAGATCCTTTCCTAGCATTTTCTAAATGACTTCCAGACAGATATCCCACAAATGCAGCCATTCCAGAGCCTGAAGCGCTCCTTATGGTGGCTTTGGCAGGTGTGTAAGCAGGAGAGCATCCACAGCCAGTGGCCCGGGTCACCCGTGTTGATCCCATAGGGTCTCCCAGGCTCTGTGATGTGAGTTTGCCCGCTGAGCCCCTGGTTCCCTGTAGAGAAGCAGGCAAAGTAGGACAGGGCGTTTATTGCTTTTCAACGTACGCTGTTTATCCAGCACACCTTCTCTCGTGCTGTTCTCAGTGGCAGCATAGGAAGGAAGAGCTTGGCCAGGGGGTCGTGGAGAGGGATGCAAATCCCTTCCTTGCAGGCAGGGTGCGAAGCACCGTGTGTCGGAAAGGCAGCGTGACCACAGCGGGCAGCCCCCTGCCCCACGGCTGGGATCTCCCCTCAGCCTGTGCCGAGGGGCTGATGTGAAGGCATCCACAACGATGCCCTGGGCCTCCCAACGTTCTTCTTTTAACTCCAGGCCAGCCCAGATGCCCACTCATTCCTTCGTGGGCTGGCAAAGAGCAGTGCTTTCATTTTGTCTGCGGCTTTCTCTATTTGCTCTTGAAATGCAAATTCTGCCTTTGCATTTTTCAGCTTGCTGTGATGCTGCTGTTGTGTTTGCTGGCCTTGGAAATGCAAGAGGAATTCAGTCTGTGTTTTCAGCTTTCTAACTCTGACCTTCAGGCAGTGACACTGCTGTCCCTTCACGCAGAGGCTGAAAACCCTGGGGCTTCCTAAGTATTTCCTTCCAGACTGCCTGT